GTCATCGGACAACCCAAGAACACTTTTCGAAAACCTCGTCTCTAGGTTAGCCCAGTTATCGGACAACCTAAGGACGTTGTAACCACCCATAAAAACGTGAAAACAAGAGGGTCGAAAAACCATCGCGTCGCTCCGACCGCGCCCCTTTTTAGGGAGGCGGCGACAGATGGCGACTTCATTGGGGAAGCCTAGAGAGTTGATCCCATTTAGTGATGGGCTGACTTAAGAATAATTAAACCGAGAAAATAGCACTTTTACCCTACCTTGTATTATAACATGTTTTATTGTTTGGCTTTCAAATAACTGTTGCTTGTTTATACTTATTGATTGAAATATAAACTGCACACAAACCCTTGCACACTACAGTTCCCTCTATACCCGGGGGCAAGTGAGATAACCATAGGGAGTGGGTGGCAGGTACGGTTCGCTGTAGTTAGGGCCTTGTGCCCACCAGTGTGATCGGAAACCACCACTCAAGGTGATAACCTTCCTCTTTTGGCAACAAGACCGACTCGGCCTTAGTGCCGAGCATGGTTGGACGAGCTGGAGAGTGGGGACCCTATAATGGGGGCACCTTGGGGGCCTTAGCCTGGTGAGAACAGTTAGAACCTACCCCGACCAATGCACTTTTCTCGCAGGAAAACCCTACCTCGTGATAAAAACGAAATCTCGCCTGTTCGGGGATGATCAAATTGTGTGTGCATATGATTGTTGCATTTGTATGTTGCATAGCATAAACAAACAACAAGAACAAAATCACAAAAATATTTCACAAATAAACACCCTTATCTCGGACAGTCCGCCTTTTAGCTAGCTCTGGTTTCGGGTTCTTTGTAAGCTAAGTAGCCACGCAGTTCCGGCAAAGGAGATAAGGGACGCTAAATAATTCTTTCACATAAAGCCATATTTTATCTCGAACAGTCCGCCTTTTAGCTAGCCTGGTTTCAGGTTCTTTGTAAGCTAAGTAGCCACGCAGTTCCGACAGAAGAGATAAAAGGCTATAAAAATAAATAAAAATAAAAATAAAAATAAAAAACCATTTTTTTCCAACATTCATAAATAAGACCTGGTCCAAAAATATTATACTCATAAAGCATTCATATAGATAGTTTATTCTTTCAAAAAATATATACCATACATCATGTAGAAAAACATGATAAATAGAAGAATAAACACTCACATTCATGCAATAAACATCATCTTCATCAAATCATACATTTTTATTTTAGAAAATGGAGGGGGCAAGTAGACAAGTGGGGAAGGTGGATATTCTCCGAAACCATACTGAGAAGCTGGAACGGCTTAGTGCAACAATGCCACCAGAGGTCCGCGCTGATTTTGAAAAGTCCTATGGACGAATTTTGGACCTCCTAAGGATCAGTGTCGATCAGGTATTCCTCAGGGTACTGATTCACTTTTGGAACTCCGATCTGCGGTGCTTCGAATTTCCGCAGTTCGACATGGTGCCCACCTTAGAGGAGTATGAAACTATGTTGAAGTGGCCCAAATCAGCCAGGGTCCATATTCGCCACGAGGCGTATACTCCTGCCACACCAGTCGCTGTCCTTATCCAGCTACCATTCAGACAGAGTACCCTGATAGGAAGAGGGAACACCCAGGGGTGGAAAGTATCGATGTTAGAAGACCACCTGTCCTACCTGGCTGAGAGGACAGAGTGGGTTGCCTTCAACAAAACCCTGGCGCTGATAATCTTCGGAACGATCCTGTTCCCCTTCCACCTCGACACGATAGATCAAGCCGTCATGGACGCCTTCTTCGCTTGGGACGTGCACTCGAAGAGTCCCCTACCTGCTATTCTTGCCGACACCCTGCTCTCGGTGGATTTCTGCCATCAGAAGCAGGGGAGAACACTCCGCTGCTGCTCTTCATTACTATACGTGTGGAGCATCACGCATCTTTATGCCTCCAGCCACATGGGGATATTCCCTGATCCTTTGAGAAGATTCTCCAAAATCCCCCTCCAACGACGCCTGACTATAGAATGGAGGGATGAGTTAGAACGAAAGGACGCCAACAGTATATCTTGGGTCTGCCCTTGGTTCCGACCCGGCCCCGTTCTCATCAGATGTGGGGACCATCCGAACGTACCCTTGATAGGACTCAGGGGCTGCATAGCTTACTCACCTAAAATAGCTATAAGGCAACTCATGAGGACCCAAACTATTATTTCCCGAAGGGAGCTCGGAGGACTATGCTTCTTTGGAGACCCATGCACGATCATCAACTCATCAAACATAAGAAAAGCATGGGAGAGGCCAGTTTACATGGGAGACAGAGCGCTAGGAAAAACTCGGGTAACTGTCACCAGTGACTACGAGGCGTGGAGAAGAAGGAAAGGGATGGTTCGACCATCCACCACACCAGTGCCAATCGCCAACAACGAAGAGCTGCAGGCACAAGTCAATGCCTTGACCCAGAGGGTAGAAATCATGGGATCCCAGATACGGGCCCTTGAGGAAAAAGAGCAAGCATCTATCCTCACGATTGACGGTCTACAAAGGCAAGGCAAGAAAAAGGATCATGAAATAGAGCGCCTCAAGGACCAATGTGCTGACGCTAATGAACAAGCTATCCGAGCATCAAAAATTGCTAAAACCAGTTCGGATAGCCAACTGCAAGAGATAACCGCCAAGACAGCACACCTTGAGGCCGAATCAGCTAAGCAGGCTCAAACGATCAAGGAGTTGTCGGAAGGGCTCCTTAAGGCTCGGTTAGATATCCGCCAAGAGCGAGAGGCCAACAAGAAACTCAGCAGAAGTCTCTATGAGCTACGCCTTAAGGAGAAAGACGGGCTAGCTCAGTACGGCCAAGTACTTCAAGAGAAAGACCGAGCCGTTGAAAAGCTCGATGAACTACAAGCCTTAGTCGTTCATCAAGAAGCGAAGATCAAAGAGGCTCAAAAGTACAGTGAAGATATGAGCCAGGCGGTCCACAAGCAAAGCGAAGAGCTCGCTCACCATGTCCGAGAAGCCGAGAGGGAACTACAGAGGAATCAAAAACCACCTGTAGGTTTCTTCAAAGTTTTCCGCTTTTGCCAGAAATTGCTTCGCAGTATAGAATAGGAGAATGTACACCTTCCAATGAATTAATGAAATCTTTTTCTTATTCAACACTTGTCTACTTGCATGCATAAACATTCATTTGCATATTTTAAATTCCCCTCCTTCACGCTTAATAAATAAGATAATAAAAAGGAAGGATTAACTAACACGTCTTCCAACTCAGAAGAATGGAGAGAAAGTCACTCCTAATAAAGACCACCCCAACGGTCGAATCATCGCAAGAGGGAAATAAACCTCGGCCGTTGGTCCTCAAGAATAAAGAAGAGGGGGCAAGGACGCCAGTGCGACTATTTATGCCACGTCCTTTCCCCTACGAATCAAATAAAGCTGTACCATGGAGATATGGGGAATCTTCACCAATAAAAGAAGAAATAACAAACATAGTCGGCATTGGGGGCACAACTAGAAGGGGAAGAATCTACTCCCCCAAGGACACACAGGAAAATGTCCTCCAAAATAAAGGAAAAAATAAAAAGACCGAAGAAGAAAAAGAAAATAAAGAATCCAAGCAGGAGACAGAGGAATTACTCCAGTTTATAAGGCAAAGTGAGTATTCCATTATTGATCAGCTCAACCGTACGCCTGCAAAGATCACATTGCTATCTTTGATAATGAGCTCGGAACCGCACCGGAACGCCCTGTTGAAGGTCTTGAGCGAAGCGCATGTACCTCACACAATATCCCAAGAAAAGGTTGAGAGGATCGTCGGTCACATCACGGCAAATGATCACCTCACCTTCACAGAGGAAGAACTCCCCCTCGAGGGGTCAAAACATAACAAGCCCTTGCATATCTCGGTTAAATGCAAGGAATACCTCATCGCCAAAGTTCTTGTGGATAACGGGTCGTCCCTGAACGTGATGCCCAAGTGCACACTGGATAAGTTGACTATCCAAGGAACCCGTCTGCGCCCAAGCAGCACCATCGTTCGAGCCTTCGATGGATCAAAGCGAGAGGTAGTGGGAGAAATCAATTTGCCAATCCAAGTTGGACCCACTACCTTCAACGTCGATTTCCATGTAATGGATATTACTCCAGCATATAGCTGTCTCCTCGGCAGGCCTTGGATTCATGACGCTAAGGCAGTACCTTCGACGCTCCACCAGAAAGTCAAATTCATAGTGGACGATAAACTGGTCACAGTCCAAGCAGAAGACGACATCCTGATCAGTGGACCGTCCACCCAACCTTATGTGGATGCGGCTAAAGAGGCCCTTGAAACATCTTTTCAAGCGCTCGAAATTGCCAGTATAGAGCGACTTCCCAGAAACACAAAGGTAGCCCACATGATGTTGAAGCATGGTTACCATCCTGGCCAAGGACTAGGGGCAGATTCCCAGGGCTTGAGGGAACCCCCAGAATTCAAAGACAATCCTTACAAGTATGGCCTAGGATATGACCCTACTAAGGGCCGCACAGAAAAGAGAAAAGGGAAGTCTCCCCTCCGCACACTCAAGCAAATTTTCCAAAGTGGAGGGGTGCCAGCGTCAAAAGCTACTCTAGTCATTAGGAAATCTTTTTCTTTGTTTAAGGGATGTAAACCCCATGATTGTTAGAGATTATCCCCCGGGGCGAGCCCGACCCCCAGGCATCTTAGGGCACATATTCCCTCATTAATTAATAAGAATGATTCTTTCTATCTGCTTCTCTTCTTTCTACTTCTGACTGGACCACATAAATAACCCTGTCTAAGTAAACAACAAAAAAAAACCAAAAAAGAAAAGGAATAAGAAGCGCATCCAATAAACAACATTCACCATTGTTATTGCCATCAAGCTAGTTGATTAGAAGCACATAAAATAAGACTTCACCTAAAGCCATAAAGAAAGTCATGCTTCGCCAATAATGTGAACAAAAAAAAATAAATCCACAAAAAAAAAAGCCCAGAGAAGCCAAAGGCCAAAAGAAAAGGGCAAATTACCCGGTAGGAAACCCACTAAGGGGGCTACACAAAAGATAGGGTCGACCCGGTAGGACACCCGAACAACAATAAAGGGTAGCCTAGGAAAAAGTTAGGGTTACAAATAAGGTCCGCTAGGATTTCTCCAAAATTTTACAAAAGAAGGAACCTAGACAAAAGATAGGGCCAAACACAGTATCCTAGTTCGAAAACCCGAAGGGCGATCTAGGGAAATCAGCTAGCCATTTAAAAACAATGGAAATGAAACCAAAGAGCGCAAATACAAAAAAAGAAAAGAAGGTTTGCTTAGACAAAGCCTAAACACCCAAGCTTAACCTCAACCAGCCATTCTTACAGAGTCTTTTATCAATAAAAATCAACCCTCTAAAACACAAACCATTGACTTTTACCTCCTTTACTTCTTTTCTCTTGACCCTCACGACAATATTCTGATAATTAATTTGGGAATATGGAGGCGTATAGTCAACAAGAGGATTGAAATCCCTAAAGCAAGGAAAAAGGGACACTACATGACAAAAAGTGCTCTACAAAAAGAAAAACAGAGAAAGAAAGAAATTACTCTTCGGTCACAAGAGGTCCGGCATGGTACAGCCAAAAGTATAAGCGGCGAATCAGAAGGCTTTCAGCACAACAAGACACGTCAGTTAAATCCTTCTGAAAAACTAAATCAAAGTAGGCATTATAGGACATGTCGCCGCCGTCCCTTCCGACGTCCTGAGGACGTCTGGTGACGTTTATGCGAGCGGTCGCGAAAATATGGTTTAGACTCGCGTATTTGTTTAAAAAATTGTTCATTGCTTCAACATTGAAAAAGCAAGGTTTTCGAAAAGGGGTTCTTATGGAGTCGCCACCAATATTTTGACCATAAACATTGGAAAAGGATGAAAAGGCATTGATTTTAATAAAAACCAGACTTGGCCATTATAACCAGAGTTAGGTAAGGGAGTTAGTTATGTGTGGGGAAGGTGTTAGCACCCCACAACGCCCCTTTCGGGTTCCCTATGACAGATTAATTCATTTAAGTAAAGACTACGAGAAATTACGTGATTACCCTATTTTATTACATAATATTAAATGGCTATCTACATGATTTTATTCTATATTGCATGCATAAAATGATGAATAAAGCTAAATAAAGCAATAAAAGAGATATTAAAATAGCTATCTACATGATTTTATGGCATAAACAATAAATAAAGCTAAATAAAACAATAAATAAAGCAATAAAAGAGAAGAGAATTGAAAAGAACCTCCGTAGCAAGCTTTGTATTGAGAATCTCCAAGCTCGTGAGGATGCGTTTTGGCAACCCCTCTCTCTACACAGACTCTCCTCACCAATACAAGATCGACTCCACTAAAAATTTAAAGAAGAATCAAATGCCGGAATATAATTCCTTAACCGATTGTTACCTATTTAAGGCAATCGGAAAGATCATTCGAGAAAGGGAGAGAAATAGACAGGTGCTCGAGTTTTAGAAAGTGTTTCGAGCTCTCGGGATGTCCGGGGTGTGAAAAAGTGGCAAATGAGCCTCCTATTTATAGTTTTCGCAGGCTGGCGCACTTTGGGACGGCCGTCCGGGTTGGGACGACCGTCCGGGCTCAGGATGGCCGTCCCAAATGGCAAATTTACACAGCTGGGACCCCACAGGAACCGGGACGGCCGTCCCACTTAAATTGGGGTTTGGGACGCACGTCCCAGCTAGGCTGAGGCAGGTTGGGACGGCCGTCTCGACTTGTTCAGCCGGTTTCGCGCGTTTCGGGACTCGGGAAGCTTTCCTTGCACTGTTTTGGACGTCGGTTGATGCCGATATGTGTCCGTTGAAGCTTTATCTTCATATAGGAAGTCTTTTTGGCCTTTATTTGGAATGTCGGGCGAGCTTTATCTCCGTATAGGAAGTCTCCTTTGTCTTTTATCGTGCAGACGAGCAATCTCTGTGTTTGTTGCGGGAGGTTTTCTCGGTTTTGGGAAGCCGGATGAACTCTATCTTCAGGCGAAGTTCCTCTAGCTTTTATTTTGAGAGGCCGGGAAAAATTAGGGGTCTACAGGACATCAAACATAAAAACATTTGCATGCATAAAATGTTTTTGAACCAGGTCCTATTTCTTATTCAAAAAAAAAAAAAACACACCAGAAATTCGAGACCGCCGTCTGGACATTCCAGACCGCCGTCTCGATTCCATTGCACTTCGAGACCGCCGTCTCGAGAAACCAGACCGCCGTCTCGACTTAGGCAAAGTCGAGACCGCCGTCTGGAATCTCGAGACCGCCGTCTCGACTTCCCAGACGGCGGTCTCGATCTGAAAATTTTCCCTATATAAGGGGCGCGCCTCGAAGGGGTTTCCTCACAACTCTCCTTGCCTCCTAAGCCTTTAGAGCCTCCAGAACTCTCATTCTACTCCTCCAAGCCTTCCCTACTCAAAATGTTCGGAAGAAGTGCCTCCAGGAAGCGAAGGGGCACCGCTGGTGCTAGCAGCTCTACACCACCGCCACCCCCAGATCCTTCTCAGCTGTCATCACAGCACCAGGCTCGCCTGGATAACATCAGGAGCTACCAGTGGCACTCCATGCTAACACTGGACTTCGGCGTTCTGGCCGAATTTGGATGGGAAGAGGACGTCAGGGCCCATATCGATAGCATTGGGTGGGGCTTTCTGCTACAACCCCCACCCACATATGTGTACCCCCAGGCAGTACAAGAATTCCTGGCCTCTGTCTCCCTCATTGAGATCCCCTCCAATTATTTCATGGGCGGGCAGTACCACACCACCACTCTGGAAGAATTCAATGTGGTCATTGGATTCATCCGGCCTGAGGAGGCGCTGACCCGGGAATACCGAGAGGCCATCTGCTCTCGGCCCACCAACCTCACCCCCGCAGACATGTGGCGTGACCTCACAGGAGCAACCACGCTGCCCACCTTAATGAGAGGCTCCGCACTACAACCGGCGCTTCGCATCTGCCACAAGCTGCTGGCAGGCACCGTCCATGGGAGAAAGGAGATCCAGGGTAAGATATCCCTCCTTGATCTCTTCGTCCTCTACTGCATGCACCAGAGGAGGCGCTGCAACCCTGGATACTTCCTCCTGAGGGCCCTTAAAGACTTCGGGAGCAGATCCACGGGGGCCATCCTCATAGCTCCCCTCATCACCCCTCTGGTAGAGAGAATGGGGTGCTCGGGCCGGGAAGAGCTGGCCCGCAACCTCCGACCTGAGCCCATCAATGGGCCAATGCTGGTCAGCATGGGGATGCTGATACGCCGGGGACACCAATTCGCCCTGCACCCCTCCCTGGACTTTGAGCTGGATCTCCAGGGGATCATGGCGATGGAGGATATGCCCACATCCCCCGGCTCCCAGTTGCAGCAGCAGCAGCAGCAGCCACAGCCACCTATGTACACGGATGACTTTGCTGGCGTGCACCAACACCTGGATAATATAAGCCAGCAGTTCGCCCAAATGGCGGTGTGGCGAGAGCAACAGACCCAGTGGCAGCAAACCTAGGATGCTCGCCAGCAGGCCTATCAAGCTCGCCAGGACGAGATATACCAGGAGCAGCAGAGGTTGAGGCAGGAATGGACGACATTCCAGGAGGACTACCGTGACGAAGTCCAAGAGCAAGTGGACTTCCGATATCACGTGTACAAACAATACCCTTATTCCCCTGATGATAGCCCCTAGGGATTGTACTTGCTCAAATAAGAACTGTTGTAATAAAATCTCCCATAAATAAAACTTTTATTTCATGCATTCTTTGCCTTCTCTTACAAAAGTCAGCGTAACAAAAAGAAAACTTAAAAGAAAAAGACATACGCTCAGGAAAAAGCCAAAATCCAAAATCGCGAGAAAAAAGAGATAAAACCGCGAAAAAAGGCAGGATTAAAACAAAACAACTACCTTAACCAATAAAAATCGATTACCAAAAATCGAACACAAAGAAAAAGAGCCCGACCAACCAACAAGAGTCAGATGATTATCACAAAAAGAACAAAAACAAGGAATCCCCAGCCACCAATAGAGCTGGATGAACAAAACCAACAAAATTCCCGGCGTAGCCCGGACGACCATCCAAAAAAATACAAGAACAAACACAGGGATCACTCCCCAGGAACGGCGCATGAGCTACCCGAGCAGTAAGCCGCCACCACCACCAGTCCTATGCAATGGACTGTACCAGCCCGATAGGGGGTTTATACCTATCAACCAGCACACAAGGAGTGCCTAAACGGCGCATGGGCCACCTGAACAGTAAGCCGCCACTACCACCCTGATGGGGGGCTCATACCCATCCGGTCCCACACAACGAACCGTACCAGCCTGATGGGGGGTTCATACCCATCCAGTCCCACACAACGGACTGTAACTACCAGCCTGATGGGGGGTTGATACCCATCAACCGAAGGATCGGCTACGTCAGGAGTAGTATCCGGAGGTTCTACCACGTGTCAGCCAAAGGGATCGGCTACGTCAGAAGTAGTATCTCAGAGGTGCACAACACAATATCTCCCCAGAGGATCATCTACCACAAGACGGTACATCCGAAGGGTAACCGGGCAAGAGGGTCAACTCCTTTACCTTCCTGTCTACCTGTCTGGCACAACAAAGCCAACAGCTGACTAGTCAGGTAAAGGGGGGGCAGCTGTAGACCCCAAATCTTGCCCGGCCTCAGAATAAAGTCAGAAAGCTTCCTATTTGAAGACGGCCGAAGCCTAACAAGCAACTAGGAGAGACTATTAGGCCCCCGTACCAAGATAGGAGGGTTTTTTGGCCCGAAAAATAAGGTTTTTCGCCCTGAAGGGACGAGACCGCCGTCTGGAAGGACCAGACCGCCGTCTCGCCTCACGCCAGGGACGAGACTGCCGTCTCGTTTGTCCAGACGGCGGTCTCGCCACTGCAAAAGTCGAGACGGCGGTCTGGGTTTTCCAGATGGCGGTCTCGACCTCCTGCCATGGTCGAGACGGCGGTCTGGATTGTCCAGACGGCGGTCTCGACCCTGTCAGACGAGAACGGCGGTCTCGCCACTGACAGGCGCGAAAAACTATAAATGGGGGCTCTCCCCCCCTCATTTCCACACACCAAGCACAGTAGCTCTCCCTTCTCTCTAGATTTTCTCTCTCTAGAACCCCTCTGAAGCATTTCCGGAGTTTCTGAGTGTCTCTAGGCATAAATTGAGTGTTCTAAATCTTCTTTAGAATCCCTCCGAGGCATTTCCGGAGTTTCTGAGAGTTTGTAGAGTGAAGGGTTGCCAAAAAGCGCCCATTCTTTAAAGAGAAATATATAAAAAGCTTGCTTTGGAGGTGCACATTCTCTCTCCTTCTAATTTTACCGCTTTCATTTAAATGTATGCAATAGATACTAGGGCCATGTAGTCATAATCTCTAAATACCGCATAATAAAAGGGTAAAAGCGCAATTTTCTAGTTTAATTATTTATCCAAAGTAGCCAGCCTATCATAGGGAACCCGAAAGGGGCGTCGTAAAGGAACT